CGCAACAACGAGTTTCAGCATTATAACGCCCGTGCCCACACTGCGAGAGACTTCCTCCAGCAGAATGGCATCATCCCATTGAGCACCTGTTGGACGAGTTTCAAAGACGGCTGAATGACGTCCGACCAAGGCCGACAACTGCAGCTGAACTGCGTCAGACGTTCCTCTGACAAAGTGTGGGCTCAAGCGCCTATGGCCTTCATCAACCGCCTCATCCATTCCATGTATCGACGTTGCACGGCAGTCATCAATGCACATGGCGGACACACGAGATAAAGACTTGTGATGCCATTTTCTCAGAGACTAGTGTTGTGTTTCACTTTAAGAACATTTGACACTTTAACATCAACCTTGATGATCAGTTTTGCCAAGTTTCATCTTTTTAATATGTCTCAAAGTATGTTTACAGTGTTTGGACAAACAAGGTTTGATATATCTATCCACATCTTCCCGAGGCAAGAGAGTTAACTGACTTTAAAAGTCCAGTTTCCACAAGAGCAAAAGAGCGGTGAAAATAATATGAATGGATCACTGACGATCACTGACGGTACCAGGTGTTAGGGAGAAAGGTAAGCAAATCCCGCCCCGCTGCTAGCGATAAGATAATAAAAGGCAACAAGGTCTGAAATCAGCTGAGTACATCACTTATTAAGAAGATTATGTTGCCAGCTGTTTCTAGGAACGTTTGTGGAACCTTGGAATTCAAAATGGTCGTCATTTCTAATCGCAATCGGTCATATTTCTAAAGTATATGTGTCTTTGATATTGACCCATAGGTATGATGCATATCATATGGGAGTCCCTTTGTATGCCCCTTCTATTGATACATAATAGTTTTCTATATCATAAGTCAAAAGAAGATTATCAGGGCAGATTAGGACTGATTCTACAATACGTGACTGTTTGCACTTAATTGCGCATATTTGTTTATTATGAGTAAAGAATCACTTTTAATTGTTGAATTGCACATATCATTTTACAAAGAGACATAAAAATATGATAGTAATGGCGAGTCAGTAGATTAGTGAGAAAATGGATTTCAAAGTTGCGTTCAAGATGTTTGCGCTTGTGAAGCGACGTGCCTGCGTGCGTGTGGCTGCCTGTACTAGTCCGAAGTAAAACAAGTACTATCTTTTAACGTCTTTTGGTATGACGCTACCGGGGATCGAACCCCGTACCTCTCGCAATTAATGGGCTGGTGCAACCTGGGACAACACAGGCGTCAGTCTGCCGTGTACAACCAGATCGAGATGGATGTACAACCAGATCGAGGCGCCAGGTGCTTGCCTGCAGATGGGAACACTGTGCTCTTCCCATATTTTCGAGGCAAGGGAGTTAACAGACTGTAAAAGATCAGTTTCAACTTTCATTGTCAGTTGCCTCCCTTGCCTCGGGAAGATATGCTTTCTCCAACTTCAGGGGTAGGTGATAGTTTTTCCACGTCTTGGTCAGCCTTGAGCTTTTGAAACAGATACCATCTCAGATTTATGATATTTGCTTTTTCTTTTTTCTTTGAGAGGCATTTTGATGTTGGAGTACTAAATTAGGATAAGATATATGGATGAACAACTTTTTTATTACAATTAGAAGCGTCTAATACCGTTATCTAATTGTAATAAAGAAGTTGTTCATCCAAATTTCTCATCCCTGCTTCTTATTTGTTCCGGATGTTTTCCTTTTTCTTGAACATGTCCTGTTGTGTCACAACCAGTCAGCGCAGGCCAGATGAGTGGTGGTGCTGCTTTTGGTTCACCAAGTGGGTCATAGATATAGGCTGCACAATACTGGCACTGGCATCCATTGTTATTGCTGAATCTCAACCAAGTTCTGGCGGGGAGCACGGGCGGCCCGGTCGTCTAAGGCGCCGCAATTCGCTTTTTCAATTAGCATAGTGTGTCCTATGTTTGCAGGAAAGCAAAACAAGATGGATCCGATTGTTGTCGCTGCTGCATGCAATGAAACGTTTGACAAGTTTTCTTCCATCATAAGTTACTCTTTTAACGCACACGAGCGAGCATGAAATACTAATGATAAGAAAACAGATACTGTTCAACAGTAGGCACATACCGGATCAATTTAAAACAATAAATGTTTCTGCAACTTGTGCTGAAAACATTCTGCTGGTCCAGCCAATACATACCGCCATTCAAAATTCATTACATCGCAAGACATAGAACATATACGTTAGGTCCCACTACAGCTACACCAATGCCAAATGTGATATATTTTGGAAAGAAACCCATGACGGAGCAATAGCCATTAACGAGTTTCTACGTGTGGCTGCTGTAGTGGTCATGTTATAATTGGATTGAAATAATGTGAGCACTTTAAGCAGCATGACAGCTGAGGTTATTCATACAAAGTTTCAGCTGAATCCACACCTTGTCAACGTTCATTTAAACCCACCAACACATGCAGGTACTTTATCGACATACAACAACATCAAGGCTAATCAGTGGCTAAGAGATGCAATTCATATGGCAACAAACCTACCAACACGCATCTAAAACTAAAATCTAATTATGTAAGTGGTGACCTGATATTGAGCCCTTTGGTGAGCCACAGTAGTCAATGCTTTCTTGCCTTTGACATGTCAGTAAACTGAATTTGGCTGAAGTCTATCAGACTCAACAACTGTTAAAGAATGACTAACAGCTGAAATGAGTGAGTGAGTTGAGTTTAACGCCGCTTTTAACAGTATTCCAGTTATATCGCAGCGTGTCAGCTTAATGTGGGAGAAAGCCTGAAGTGAAGCAGGTCTCAGACGTTTACCATTTCGGCGAAACCCACGAGCATGGGTATGGTGCTGACAAACCTAGAAACATAATCGGGGCGAACCGGGTTCGAACATTCAATCATGGGTTTCTGGCGTGCCCAAGGGACGCAACTCTGCACAGCGAATCGCGGCGCCTTAGACGACTGGGCCACCAGTGCCCCCAACAACTGAAATGACGCATATAATGACATTACTGAAGTTGACATCTATGACTAACTAGAGCTAAGAATTAAATCAAAAAGCTATGAAACTTTCATTTTTGTAAAATCGCTTCGGGTTAATTATTACAAATTCTAAAATATGAAAGCACGACAACAACACATTTAATATTTGATTGTTGGCTAAAGAATATCATATTTTTTGTTGATGATGAAGTAAGTTTCATTCGGTACTAAATACACATGTAGAAGGGTTATAAAAAGTATTTATTCTTGATTCAGATTCTTGAGCCCCAAATGGATGATGCATTGTAAACTACATGTATATACAGTTATGTCCATACATATTCACTCTCATTATCAGGGTGGTTCTTAGATTCAAACCCATGATCTAAGGGTTCTGGCACATTTAAGTGACACAATTCTGCCTAGCAAGTTGTGACGCGTGGGACCCTCTTGTCCTCGACAGTATACAGTCACACACCAGTCAGTAGAGGTAGGTCTCACCATATTAGGCAAGGGTATTTCGACATTCTCATACAGAACAAGTGTACACTGACTTTTCAGTTGGCTAAAAAATAATTTACTTGATCATAAGACTCGTGAAGATCCGGGGTAGAAAAGGTCTTCAGCAACCCATGGCGACTAAACTTGTCGTAAGAGGCGACTAACAGGATCGAGTGGTCAGGCTCACTGTCACATGATGCATGTCATCGTATCCCAATTGCATCTATAGATCGATGCACATGATGTCAATCACTGGATTGTCTGGTCCAGACTCGATTATGTACGGACCGCCGTCTTACAGCTGGAATATTGCTGCGTGCGGCGTTAAACAAAAAAACCAAAAAAACATGATCACAAAACCCTTTGATTCCTATCCAAACAGCCGCGGGTGTGTTTTATTGTCAACACACATTGTTCCTTGAGTGAGTTGGGGTTTTCAGTTTAACATGGTCTGTCATCTAAATTTGGCGTAAACCCCAAGTGATGAAGGTTTTATAGAGATGTTTACCACTTTGGTGAAACCCACAAACACAAATTGAATCGGTACTAATTTACAGTTATTCAGTGTTTCGTCAGTGTCCCTCGTGGAAGTAACCGGTATCGGAAACATCAACAAAGGAATGTACTCCCCTCCCCTACCCAACAGGGCCCACTTGCACAAAGCGATCTTAGCGCTACAACTATTGTAAGCCTATGTTAAAGTATGGGAGTTACGATCATCTTAGCGCTAAGATCGCTTTGTGCAAGTGGGCCCTGCTCATTACGAGGGCAGTGAATTTCCTCTCCTAGGCAAAGTTCTACAGATATACTTGGACGGGTTTTTTTTATATATAATATAAGACTTTTAAATGTATTACAACACACAATTTGAACATTTTAGGAAGCTACACTACACAACCTGATTCTCGGAAAGCGTTCACCAGCGAAACTTGTTCCGTTGTGGAAAGCGTTTGATAATTTAATAAAAGTTAAATATTGAAATTTCATACTTCGTAAAAGTATTCTTGAGTGACTTATGTTAAAGTCTTAACACACTTTGAATGCTAAAAGTTTGTATGAATTGGCGAATAATGCAATTCATTCTATGACTTTTGTTTCTCAGACATATTTTTCTTCCGATTTTTCTGACGGCTATCAGTTGTTTAGAGAGTGATCGGGTAGAATATATTATTAAAAAAAAGTTTTCATTTATTTTATTTACTGTTTGGGGTCTTTCCGGGGTGGGGGATTGATCGGGACCGGTGTGGGTGTGGTAGGGAGGGTGTATGTATGGGTGTCGGGGGATTTTAAGTTTTTCAAAATAGCTTGACATGATGTTTTATTATTGACTTATTTGCAAAGGGAACAAATCATTTGCCAAACTCGCCAGATATCGCATGTTGACCATGTAAGTTGTTATGATCGAAACGTGTTTTCTACATTTTGTACATTTATGAGATGAAGAACAAAAGAACAAAATTTGATGAAGAACAAAATTAAACAGTCGCCGATCGTGATTGTGGTGTGTCACAATTCAATGGGGAATTCCCATCAGGTGTTCTGACGTCACTTCCGTCTTTCTAAAAATAAAACAAGGGGATTCCGATGCCTCTGTGAGAAGGCATGAACACGGAAGTAAACGAAGGGGCCACGGTTGGAATAGACACATGTGAGTAGTGAACTGTATCAGTGTGAAATGTGTGTGCATTCTTGGGTCTTGGGCACATGGTTTTGCCTACACAAATCCGTTCTATTCAATTTAGATTCTATGTTAAAAATTGTAGATCTCGACACAATCTCGACTAGTTGCGACTCTCGGCTATCTGGTCTCGTGCATGTGACCTGGTTTATGACTTGGCCTTGTTAAGTTTCTGGACTGTACTATTTGATGTCACATTTCACAAAAGTGTATAAGAATGGTACGACGATAATGCCGTTATCAGTTGATAATCAGCTGGTAATAGGCATGAATTCATTCTACCCTAGACCTTAATACTAATATTTTACGTGAAAGAAAAATCCACTAAAACTAACAGTTCACACACTTACGAAAATAATTCTTACTTTCATCATTCTGTTTTATAATTCTGTAAGCCAATGGATACCAGTTTAGAATTAACCAGGGCTTCCTGTTGCAAGATGACACAACCACAGTATCATGGTTGGATCATTGCAGATCAAATACTTCCACATTTGGTTGTATGAAAGGAGACTCATCACTAATTATTGATTATTCTGTAAGTGAATTACATCATGAAGTTGTGAGGACAGATGTCTTGGATAATCATTGATATTTGTGACTTTTGCTATGAGAGCTCTGTCACAATGATTGGCAGTTGAGACTGTGTTGTAGGACAGACCTCATAGAGTTAGGGTGGGACACTGTGATCTTGTAGGCTAGAGGTAGGGTGGGACACTGTGATGTTGTAGGCTAGAGGTAGGGTGGGACACTGTGATCTTGTAGGCTAGAGGTAGGGTGGGACACTGTGATGTTGTAGGCTAGAGGTAGGGTGGGGCACTGTGATCTTGTAGGCTAGAGGTAGGGTGGGACACTGTGATGTTGTAGGCTAGAGGTAGGGTGGGACACTGTGATGTTGTAGGCTAGAGGTAGGGTGGGACACTGTCATGTTGTAGGCTAGAGGTAGGGTGGGACACTGTGATGTTGTAGGCTAGAGGTAGGGTGGGACACTGTGATGTTGTAGGCTAGAGGTAGGGTGGGACACTGTCACGTTGTAGGCTAGAGGTAGGGTGGGACACTGTCATGTTGTAGGCTAGAGGTAGGGTGGGACACTGTCATGTTGTAGACTAGAGGTAGGGTGGGACACTGTCACGTTGTAGGCTAGAGGTAGGGTGGGACACTGTCATGTTGTAGACTAGAGGTAGGGTGGGACACTGTCACGTTGTAGACTAGAGGTAGGGTGGGACACTGTCATGTTGTAGGCTAGAGGTAGGGTGGGACACTGTCATGTTGTAGGCTAGAGGTAGGGTGGGACACTGTCATGTTGTAGGCTAGAGGTAGGGTGGGGCACTGTCATGTTGTAGGCTAGAGGTAGGGTGGGACACTGTCATGTTGTAGGCTAGAGGTAGGGTGGGGCACTGTGATGTTGTAGGCTAGAGGTAGGGTGGGACACTGTCATGTTGTAGGCTAGAGGTAGGGTGGGGCACTGTCATGTTGTAGGCTAGAGGTAGGGTGGGACACTGTCACGTTGTAGGCTAGAGGTAGGGTGGGACACTGTCATGTTGTAGGCTAGAGGTAGGGTGGGACACTGTGATGATGTAGGCTAGAGGTAGGGTGGGACACTGGTGTTGTAGGCTAGAGGTAGGATGGGGCACTGTGATGTTGTAGGCTAGAGGTAGGGTGGGGCACTGGTGTTGTAGGCTAGAGGTAGGGTGGGGCACTGTGATGTTGTAGGCTAGAGGTAGGGTGGGACACTGTGATGTTGTGGGCTAGAGGTAGGGTGGGGCACTGTGATGTTGTAGGCTAGAGGTAGGGTGGGACACTGTCATGTTGTAGGCTAGAGGTAGGGTGGGACACTGTCATGTTGTAGGCTAGAAGTAGGGTGGGACACTGTCATGTTGTAGGCTAGAGGTAGGGTGGGGCACTGTGATGTTGTAGGCTAGAGGTAGGGTGGGACACTGTGGTGTTGTAGGCTAGAGGTAGGGTGGGGCACTGGGATCTTGTAGGCTAGAGGTAGGGTGGGGCACTGTGGTGTTGTGTTGTAGGCTAGAGGTAGGGTGGGACACTGTGATGATGTAGGCTAGAGGTAGGGTGGGACACTGGTGTTGTAGGCTAGAGGTAGGATGGGGCACTGTGATGTTGTAGGCTAGAGGTAGGGTGGGGCACTGGTGTTGTAGGCTAGAGGTAGGGTGGGGCACTGTGATGTTGTAGGCTAGAGGTAGGGTGGGACACTGTGATCTTGAAGGCTAGAGGTAGGGTGGGACACTGTGATGTTGTGTTGTAGGCTAGAGGTAGGGTGGGGCACTGTGATGTTGTAGGCTAGAGGTAGGGTGGGACACTGTGATCTTGTAGGCTAGAGGTAGGGTGGGACACTGTGATGTTGTGTTGTAGGCTAGAGGTAGGGTGGGACACTGTGATCTTGTAGGCTAGAGGTAGGGTGGGACACTGTCATGTTGTAGGCTAGAGGTAGGGAGGGACACTGTGATCTTGTAGGCTAGAGGTAGGGAGGGACACTGTGATCTTGTAGGCTAGAGGTAGGGTGGGACACTGTGATCTTGTAGGCTAGAGATAGGGAGGGACACTGTGATCTTGTAGGCTAGAGGTAGGGTGGGACACTGTGATCTTGTTGGCTAGAGGTAGGGTGGGACACTGTGGTGTTGTGTTGTAGGCTAGAGGTAGGGTGGGACACTGTGGTGTTGTGTTGTAGGCTAGAGGTAGGGTGGGACACTGTGATGTTGTGTTGTAGGCTAGAGGTAGGGTGAGACTTGTCCTGCTACATTGAGTGGGTTGCAGGAAACAGTAGGGGTGTATTGATTGTATCAATATATATACCCACTCAAAAGTATCATGCAATAGCGATATAATATTTTATTGTTATACAGTAAATTACAGTTGTAACAAACTCGAAGGGACCAGTAATTGTAGTTTGTTATGACCGTAGTCCGGGACCAAAAAATACGATTGTTATATCCGCCAGTTCATTACCATGTGTGTTTGTTATCAAAGTAGTTTACTGTATACAATAAATAAAATATATTATTCTGTATGTGTGTGGATAAAATATTTCCTCTATGGTCCTGCAATTTACTGCTAAATATGGACTAGATTGATCCAGATGTTTAAAATTATATTTACTGCCTTTTCATGGTCCATGTTGATCATTATTAATACATGCATTTTTTGTGGCAATGAATTATTAATACATGCATTTTTTGTGGCAGTGAATTATTAATAAAATATCAATATTCATAAATTACAGTATTACAAATATATTGATACATCAATACAGTAATATATGATGACATCGCTAGGAAACAGGTAGGGGTGGAAGACTGAGGAGACTTGGTATGGTGACTAGGACGTTGGGAACAGGTAGGTGGGAGGTGGGTTGATTAGGGTGTTGGGAACAGGTAGGTGGCAGGTCAGGCTTGGTCCGTTGATTAGGGTGTAGGTAACAGGTAGGTATGTTGATTAGGGTGTAGGGAACAGGTATGTGGAGGTGGGTTCATTAGGGTGTTGGGAACAGGTAGGTGGCAGGTCAGGCTTGGTCCGTTGATTAGGGTGTAGGGAACAGGTAGATATGTTGATTAGGGTGTAGGGAACAGGTAGATATGTTGATTAGGGTGTAGGGAACAGGTAGGTGGGAGGTGGGTTGATTAGGGTGTAGGGAACAGGTAGGTATGTTGATTAGGGTGTAGGGAACAGGTAGATATGTTGATTAGGGTGTAGGGAACAGGTAGGTGGGAGGTGGGTTGATTAGGGTGTAGGGAACAGGTAGGTATGTTGATTAGGGTGTAGGGAACAGGTAGGTGGGAGGTGGATTGATTAGGGTGTTGGGAACAGGTAGGTGGCAGGTCAGGCTTGGTCCGTTGATTAGGGTGTAGGGAACAGGTAGATATGTTGATTAGGGTATAGGGAACAGGTAGGTGGGAGGTGGGTTGATTAGGGTGTAGGGAACAGGTAGGTATGTTGATTAGGGTGTAGGGAACAGGTAGGTGGGAGGTCAGGCTTGGTATGTTGATTAGGGTGTAGGGAACAGGTAGGTGGGAGGTCAGGCTTGGTACATTGATTTGGGTGTAGGGAACAGGTAGGTGGGAGTGAGTGAGTGAGTTGGGTTCAACGCCTCTTTTAACAGTATTCCAGTCATATCACGGCGTGTTAGCTTAATGTGGGAGGAAAGCCCGAAGTGATGCAGGTCTCAGACATTTACCACTTCGGTGAAACCCACGAGCACGGGCATGGTGCTGACAAACCTAGAAACATAGGGATTTGAACCCACAGTCATAGGTTTCTGGCGTTCCTAAGGGACGCAACTCTGCACAGCAAATCACGGCGCCTTAGACGACTCGGCCACCCATGCCCCCCAGGTAGGTGGGAGGTCAGGCTTGGTATGTTGATAAGGGTGTAAGGAACAGGTAGGTGGGAGGTCAGAATTGGTACATTGATTAGGGTGTAGGGAACAGGTAGATATGTTGATTTGGATGTAGGGAACAGGAAGATATGTTGATTAGGGTTAAGGGAACAGGAAGGTAGGATGTTGGTTGATTAGGGTGTAGGGAACAGTTAGGTGGGTTGATTAGGGTGTAGGGAAACAGTTAGGTGGGTTGATTAGGGTGTAGGGAAACAGTTAGGTGGGTTGATTAGGGTGTAGGGAAACAGTTAGGTGGGTTGATTAGGGTGTAGGGAACAGTTAGGTGGGTTGATTAGGGTGTAGGGAACAGTAGTGGGTTGATTAGGGTGTAGGGAAACAGTTAGGTGGGTTGATTAGGGTGTAGGGAACAGTTAGGTGGGTTGATTAGGGTGTAGGGAACAGTAGTGGGTTGATTAGGGTGTAGGGAAACAGTTAGGTGGGTTGATTAGGGTGTAGGGAACAGTTAGGTGGGTTGATTAGGGTGTAGGGAACAGTAGTGGGTTGATTAGGGTGTAGGGAAACAGTTAGGTGGGTTGATTAGGGTGTAGGGAACAGTAGTGGGTTGATTAGGGTGTAGGGAAACAGTTAGGTGGGTTGATTAGGGTGTAGGGAAACAGTTAGGTGGGTTGATTAGGGTGTAGGGAACAGTTAGGTGGGTTGATTAGGGTGTAGGGAACAGTAGTGGGTTGATTAGGGTGTAGGGAAACAGTTAGGTGGGTTGATTAGGGTGTAGGGAAACAGTTAGGTGGGTTGATTAGGGTGTAGGGAAACAGTTAGGTGGGTTGATTAGGAAGTAGTGAACAGTTAGGTGGGTTGATTAGGGTGTAGGGAACAGTTAGGTGGGTTGATTAGAAAGTAGGGAACAGTTAGGTGGGTTGATTAGGATGTAGGGAACAGTTAGGTGGGTTGAGTAGGGTGTAGGGAACAGTAGTGGGTTGATTAGGGTGTAAGGAAACAGTTAGGTGGGTTGATTAGGGTGTAGGGAAACAGTTAGGTTGGTTGATTAGGGTGTAGGGAACAGTTAGGTGGGTTGATTAGGGTGTAGGGAACAGTTAGGAGGTTGGTTGATTAGGAAGTAGGGAACAGTTAGGTGGGTTGATTAGGGTGTAGGGAACAGTTAGGTGGGTTGATTAGGGTGTAGGAAACAGTAGTGGGTTGATTAGGGTGTAGGGAAACAGTTAGGTGGGTTGATTAGGGTGTAGGGAAACAGTTAGGTGGGTTGATTAGGGTGTAGGGAACAGTTAGGTGGGTTGATTAGGGTGTAGGGAACAGTTAGGTGGGTTGATTAGGGTGTAGGGAACAGTTAGGTGGGTTGATTAGGGTGTAGGGAAACAGTTAGGTGGGTTGATTAGGGTGTAGGGAAACAGTTAGGTTGGTTGAGTAGGGTGTTGGGAACAGTTAGGTGGGTTGATTAGGGTGTAGGGAAACAGTTAGGTGGGTTGATTAGGGTGTAGGGAACAGTAGTGGGTTGATTAGGAAGTAGTGAACAGTTAGGTGGGTTGATTAGGGTGTAGGGAAACAGTTAGGTTGGTTGATTAGGAAGTAGTGAACAGTTAGGTGGGTTGATTAGGGTGTAGGGAAACAGTTAGGTTGGTTGATTAGGAAGTAGTGAACAGTTAGGTGGGTTGATTAGGGTGTAGGGAAACAGTTAGGTTGGTTGATTAGGGTGTAGGGAAAGAGTTAGGTGGGTTGATTAGGAAGTAGTGAACAGTCAGGTGGGTTGATTAGGGTGTAGGGAACAGGTAGATATGTTGATTAGGGTGTAGGGAACAGGTAGGTGGGAGGTGGGTTGATTATGAAGTAGTGAACAGTTAGGTGGGTTGATTAGGAAGTAGTGAACAGTCAGGTGGGTTGATTAGGGTGTAGGGAACAGGTAGATATGTTGATTAGGGTGTAGGGAACAGGTAGGTGGGAGGTGGGTTGATTAGGGTGTAGGGAACAGTTAGGTGGGTTGATTAGGAAGTAGTGAACAGTCAGGTGGGTTGATTAGGGTGTAGGGAACAGGTAGGTGGCAGGTCAGGCTTGGTCCGTTGATTAGGGTGTAGGGAACAGGTAGATATGTTGATTAGGGTGTAGGGAACAGGTAGGTGGGAGGTGGGTTGATTAGGGTGTAGGGAACAGGTAGGTATGTTGATTAGGGTGTAGGGAACAGGTAGGTGGGAGGTCAGGCTTGGTATGTTGATTAGGGTGTAGGGAACAGGTAGGTGGGAGGTCAGGCTTGGTATGTTGATTAGGGTGTAGGGAACAGGTAGGTGGGAGGTCAGGCTTGGTACATTGATTTGGGTGTAGGGAACAGGTAGGTGGGAGTGAGTGAGTGAGTTGGGTTCAACGCCTCTTTTAACAGTATTCCAGTCATATCACGGCGTGTTAGCTTAATGTGGGAGGAAAGCCCGAAGTGATGCAGGTCTCAGACATTTACCACTTCGGTGAAACCCACGAGCACGGGCATGGTGCTGACAAACCTAGAAACATAGGGATTTGAACCCACAGTCATAGGTTTCTGGCGTTCCTAAGGGACGCAACTCTGCACAGCGAATCACGGCGCCTTAGACGACTCGGCCACCCATGCCCCCCAGGTAGGTGGGAGGTCAGGCTTGGTATGTTGATAAGGGTGTAAGGAACAGGTAGGTGGGAGGTCAGACTTGGTACGATGATTAGGGTTTAGGGAACAGGTAGGTGGGAGGTCAGAATTGGTACGTTGATTAGGGTGTAGGGAACAGGTAGATATGTTGATTTGGATGTAGGGAACAGGTAGATATGTTGATTAGGGTTAAGGGAACAGGAAGGTAGGAGGTTGGTTGATTAGGGTGTAGGGAACAGTTAGGTGGGTTGATTAGGGTGTAGGGAACAGTTAGGTGGGTTGATTAGGGTGTAGGGAACAGTAGTGGGTTGATTAGGGTGTAGGGAAACCGTTAGGTGGGTTGATTAGGGTGTAGGGAACAGTTAGGTGGGTTGATTAGGGTGTAGGGAACAGTAGTGGGTTGATTAGGGTGTAGGGAACAGTTAGGTGGGTTGATTAGGGTGTAGGGAACAGTTAGGTGGGTTGATTAGGGTGTTGGGAACAGTTAGGTGGGTTGATTAGGGTGTAGGGAACAGTTAGGTGGGTTGATTAAGGTGTAGGGAACAGTTAGGTGGGTTGATTAGGGTGTAGGGAACAGGTAGGTGGGTTGATTAGGGTGTAGGGAACAGGTAGGTGGGAGGTCAGGCTTGGTTTTTGATCAGTGTATGAAACTAGGCAAGAAGTACCTCTTCCTTACAACTGTCCTTCAATGATTTCCTTTGGCACCAGAATCTAGGAATAGTTACTGAACAAACTTCCTTAGATTTATACAAATGGCTGAACAGTAATTTTATGTGATAATGAAACGCTCAAAATATGCAAAAGTTAAAAGAAACTTTTAATCTTTTTGCCATTAACATGCTCGTTTAAATTACAGGCGCTTCTGTATCTTGTGCCAGTAAGATTATTTTAGGCTTTTCTGCACGGCGGAGAAACTAATTTACAGAATAGCCCCACCAACCAACCAACCAACCAACCCACCTACCCTACCCTACCCCCCACCCCCCACCCCCCACCCCCCATAATCCTCTAATGGTCCGTGTGGTATGTGATCAGCATGAACGGGATGATGGTGAAAGACTCATTTTCCAAAACCAAAGGGAACCAAGAGACCCATCTACATACTTAGTAAACTTGAGTCATTTCAGTTCTTATTATTATTCTATATTCAATGGGAAAGAACTTGTTAATTCCATTACTTATATGTTGACATAGAACATCAACACATGCTCTCGTATAAGTATAATATTTACTCATTCTTCACCATACGATATTATACTCATGTCATTGCAGGACGGTGGGGTAGCCTAGTGGTTAAAGCATTGGCTCGTCACACCGAAGACCCGCATTTAATTCCCCTCACTCATGTTTTTGGCACAGTGCATCAAGACATTGATTTGTGACAGCTCTAGTCATATCTAGTTTAGCTTTAGAGACCTCCTTATTCATGTTGTTGTGGTAATCTGATGCGCTTGTTGTTGTTGTCAGAGCACCTGTTGCCAGCCATGAACCAGGACACCAGCTCTGGGGCCATGCCGGACGACGGGTGGCCAGGCCAGTTGCTTCACCAGGCGGCACTGTTTGACAATGTTGGTTTGTTGAGATCGTTGTTAGAGGGTGATGAGCTCAGCAACATCGATGTCTGTGACCGCATGGGCCGCAGCGTTGTCTACACTTCCGTCAGCAACAACAGCCTCAAGTGCCTCAAACTCCTGCTGTCAAATGGAGGTACATGTTCAGTGCTACAGATAAGCACCATATTTGCGTAAAATACCCCCCAAAACTATTCAAAAACAATTACTTTCAATTAACTTGCCTACAGAAACGCATCCACTCAATTGCTCAAAAAGTTATTTGGACCTCTGCATGTTTTATCACTGAATTAGTTCGTCCTACGGCAGTGTAATGTTTCGGCAGGACAGTACTACACCTGGAGCAAGGCTTCTTGAATAAGTTTGGGTGTCACAGTCGACTAAGGAGCTGCAATTTCACTATGCAGAGTTAAGTCCCTTGGGCATGCCAGAAACCTATGACTGTGGGTTTTGTCTTGCCCTGATTATGTATGTCAGCAGGAGACTCCTATGCTCGTGGGTTTCACCTTAGTGGTAAACACCTGACACCGGTTGCCTCTATAGGGATTCCCTCCCACAGTAAGCTGACGTGTCATGATATAACTGGAATACTGTGAAGCGGCATTAAACCAGACTCACTCGCCCAATCACACACCCTTGAATAAGCCCAAATAATGACGTCAGCTTGGCAGTAAGACATCCTTCACATATACACAATATCATTTAAAACTATGTTTATAACAAAACACCCTTACAGCGAACTGACTGATATAACGAACTGTTTTGGGGTCCCATCTATTTGCTGTATATATGCTGTATATATGCTGTATATTTGCTGTATATTTGCTGTGTATATGCTGTATATTTGCTGTATATATGCTGTATATATGCTGTATATATGCTGTATGTATGCTGTATATTTGCTGTATATATGCTGTATATTTGCTGTATATATGCTGTATACATGCTGTATACATGCTGTATGTATGCTGTATATATGCTGTATATATGCTGTATGTATGCTGTATATATGCTGTATACATGCTGTATACATGCTGTATACATGCTGTATATTTGCTGTATATGTGCTGTATATATACTGTATATGTGCTGTATACATGCTGTATATATGCTGTATATATGCTGTATACATGCTGTATATATGCTGTATACATGCTGTATACATGCTGTATATATGCTGTATATGTGCTGTATATATACTGTATATGTGCTGTATACATGCTGTATATATGCTGTATATATGCTGTATACATGCTGTATATTTGCTGTATATTTGCTGTATATATGCTGTATGTATGCTGTATAATTGCTGTATATATGCTGTATATTTGCTGTATATATGCTGTATATATGCTGTATGTATGCTGTATATTTGCTGTATATATGCTGTATGTATGCTGTATATTTGCTGTATATTTGCTGTATATATGCTGTATACATGCTGTATACATGCTGTATGTATGCTGTATATATGCTGTATGTATGCTGTATGTATGCTGTATATTTGCTGTATATTTGCTGTATATATGCTGTATACATGCTGTATGTATGCTGTATATATGCTGTATGTATGCTGTATATATGCTGTATATTTGCTGTATATATGCTGTATACATCCTGTATGTATGCTATATATTTGCTGTATATATGCTGTATGTATGCTGTATGTATGCTGTATATATGCTGTATACATGCTGTATATATGCTGTATATATGCTGTATACATGCTGTATGTATGCTGTATATTTGCTGTATATATGCTGTATATTTGCTGTATATATGCTGTATACATGCTGTATGTATGCTGTATATTTGCTGTATATATGCTGTATATTTGCTGTATATATGCTGTATATATGCTGTATATTTGCTGTATATATGCTGTGTATTTGCTGTATATATGCTGTATACATGCTGTATATATGCTGTATACATGCTGTATGTATGCTGTATATTTGCTGTATATATGCTGTATATTTGCTGTATATATGCTGTATACATGCTGTATATATGCTGTATATATGCTGTATACATGCTGTATGTATGCTGTATATTTGCTGTATATATGCTGTATATTTGCTGTATATATGCTGTATATATGCTGTATATTTGCTGTATATATGCTGTGTATTTGCTGTATATATGCTGTATACATGCTGTATATATGCTGTATATTTGCTGTATATATGCTGCATATATGCTGTATATATGCTGTATGTATGCTGTATATATGCTGTATACATGCTGTATATATGCTGTATATATGCTGTATATTTGCTGTATATATGCTGTGTGTTTGCTGTATATATGCTGTATACATGCTGTATATATGCTGTATATATGCTGTATGTATGCTGTATATATGCTGTATATATGCTGTATACATGCTGTATATATGCTGTATATATGCTGTATATTTGCTGTATATATGCTGTGTATTTGCTGTATATATGCTGTATGTATGCTGTATATATGCTGTATATTTGCTGTATATATGCTGTATATATGCTGTATACATGCTGTATGTATGCTGTATATTTGCTGTATATATGCTGTATGTATGCTGTATATTTGCTGTATATATGCTGTATATTTGCTGTATATTTGCTGTATATATGCTGTATACATGCTGTATATATGCTTATGATTAACTACAGTTATAGCGAATTAAAATAAGTGATCCCTTAGAGTTCATTATAACCGTAGTTTACTGTATATGATATACATATTAATATTAAGTCTCAGAACAGCTGACAGGAAAATATTATCTTGAAGATTCATTTTGTTACAAATTTTGTGGGCAACTGCTAGATCCGATGTAAATATTTCTTTGAGTCAGTACAGAGCGGAAAACAATGATTAAATACTAAGCTCACATCCTAAATATAATAAATCAAAGTTCGGGACCATTATTAACCAATATTTTGTTACCTCCGGTTTTCTAAGCATTGGCAGATGGCTCATGTTGTGTTTCTGTCTTTCAGCCAACCCCAACATAGCTGCTGGTGAGAGGTACAACAGAATGGTGAGTTGTGTGAAGTCCACAGTATGGTTTCTTGGTCTTCTTTTCTGTTAAGGAAATGTGTATTTTTGTTAACATGTTGAACGCAGGCCAGTGTTATCCATGTTAAAATGTGGCATGGTATCTCAGTAGGCTGGCATTATAACACTGGCATTACACACATTTCTAAATAATCTTGAACGCGATGGTAAACCCCATTTCACCTCATGCAAACCTTCCTAGCTCGTGACGCTAGGGGTAGCAACATGCATGATAACCAAATCTCACAGACATTGCAGTTTATTTTACTTGTTTAGCCATGTTAACTACAGTCAAGTTTCGTAAATCCGACAATCGCCTTTATCCGACACTAATTATGTGAACCAATTAAATCAGTGCTATTTAGACCTGTTAACCTGACAATTTGCACTCCGACTCCGACACACCTAATTTGAAACAAATTACCAAAATCCCTCATTAATCAGCCTCGTTAATTCTCTGACACAGTCATCTGTCCATGAGTACACATCCCGTTGGTATCATTATCTAGGGTGTAGTTGTCCAAATTTGGATCACGAACGTTAATACTACTTAATTTCGTTTAACCGACATACTCGTCAATCCGACATGATCATATGCAACCAACCATGTTGGATAAACGGGACTCGACTGTACTGCAAAATGAAACACATAATAACCAGAATTAAAGGCTTCACTGCCAAAGAAGAAAGATTATGCTCCAACTTAAAAAGAGATAGATTCTGTGTGACTTTCCCCCTTCAGTAGGGGTGCATATTATATACGAGTGTGTGTTATACATGAATAAATACGGTAACTGTTAGTCCTTTTAGGGGTTTCCAACTCTGTAACAATACTATTTCAGTCCCCACTGCACAGTGCCATCTGTGACAACAAGGAAGATGCAGTTCGGATTTTACTGATAAATAATGCTGACCTTGAACTTGTGGACATGTCTGGATTGACCCCCGTGGAAGTGGCCAGGAGCGTAAATAACCGAATCCTCATCTCCCTCATCGAGGCTGAAGTTGGTGAGTTCACATCTTATACATGTTATAGCAACAGAGAAAATAGTGAACAATTGACTTTCACTTTGTGTGAGTTCATTGGGGAATGAAGCTTAATGGACTGGAGTTCATACTGTATGAACGTTGTAGCTAGCAATGACATTCATACAACGTTACAGCCTCACTCTCTGTAGGTTCATATTGTGTAAACATCGTAGCTAGCAATGACATTCATACAACGTTACAGCCTCACTCTCTGTAGGTTCATATTGTGTGAACATCGTAGCTAGCAATGACATTCATACAACGTTACAGCCTCACTCTCTGTAGGTTCATATTGTGTGAACATCGTAGCTAGCAATGACATTCATACAACGTTACAGCCTCACTCTCTGGAGGTTCATACTGTCTGAACATCGTAGCTAGCAATGACATTCATACAACGTTACAGCCTCACTCTCTGTAGGTTCATATTGTGTAAACATCGTAGCTAGCAATGACATTCATACAACGTTACAGCCTCACTCTCTGTAGGTTCATATTGTGTGAACATCGTAGCTAGCAATGACATTCATACAACGTTACAGCCTCACTCTCTGTAGGTTCATATTGTGTAAACATCGTAGCTAGCAATGACATTCATACAACGTTACAGCCTCACTCTCTGTAGGTTCATATTGTGTAAACATCGTAGCTAGCAATGACATTCATACAACGTTACAGCCTCACTCTCTGTAGGTTCATATTGTGTGAACATCGTAGCTAGCAATGACATTCATACAACGTTACAGCCTCACTCTCTGTAGGTTCATATTGTGTGAATATCGTAACTACCAATGACATTCATACAACGTTACAGCCTCACTCTCTGGAGGTTCATACTGTCTGAACATCGTAGCTAGCAATGACATTCATACAACGTTACAGCCTCACTCTCTGGAGGTTCATACTGTCTGAACATCGTAGCTAGCAATGACATTCATACAACGTTACAGCCTCACTCTCTGGGGGTTCATACTGTATGAGCGCTGTAACTACCAATGACATTCATACAACGTTACAGCCTCACTCTCTGGAGGTTCATACTGTATGAGCGCTGTAACTACCAATGACATTCATACAACGTTACAGCCTCACTCTCTGGAGGTATGAACATCGTAGCTAGCAATGACGTTCATACAACGTTACAGCCTCACTCTCTGGGGGTTCATACAGTGTGAACATCGTAGCTAGCAATGACGTTCATACAACGTTACAGCCTCAATCTCTGGAGGTTCATACTGTCTGAACATCGTAGCTAGCAATGACATTCATACAACGTTACAGCCTCACTCTCTGTAGGTTCATATTGTGTGAACATCGTAGCTAGCAATGACATTCATACAACGTTACAGCCTCACTCTCTGTAGGTTCATATTGTGAAAACATCGTAGCTAGCAATGACATTCATACAACGTTACAGCCTCACTCTCTGGGGGTTCATACTGTATGAGCGCTGTAACTACCAATGACATTCATACAATGTTACAGCCTCACTCTCTGGAGGTTCATACTGTGTGAACATCGTAACTACCAATGACATTCATACAACGTTACAGCCTCACTCTCTGGGGGTTCATACTGTATGAGCGCTGTAACTACCAATGAAATTCATACAACGTTACAGCCTCACTCTCTGGAGGTTCATACTGTCTGAACATCGTAGCTAGCAATGACATTCATACAACGTTACAGCCTCACTCTCTGGAGGTTCATACTGTCTGAACATCGTAGCTAGCAATGACATTCATACAACGTTACAGCCTCACTCTCTGGAGGTTCATACTGTGTGAACATCGTAGCTAGCAATGCCGTTCATACAACGTTACAGCCTCACTCTCTGGAGGTTCATACTGTATGAGCGCTGTAACTACCAATGACATTCATACAACGTTACAGCCTCACTCTCTGGAGGTATGAACATCGTAGCTAGCAATGACGTTCATACAACGTTACAGCCTCACTCTCTGGGGGTTCATACAGTGTGAACATCGTAGCTAGCAATGACGTTCATACAACGTTACAGCCTCACTCTCTGGAGGTTCATACTGTCTGAACATCGTAGCTAGCAATGACATTCATACAACGTTACAGCCTCACTCTCTGTAGGTTCATATTGTGTGAACATCGTAGCTAGCAATGACATTCATACAACGTTACAGCCTCACTCTCTGTAGGTTCATATTGTGTGAACATCGTAGCTAGCAATGACATTCATACAACGTTACAGCCTCACTCTCTGGAGGTTCATACTGTCTGAACATCGTAGCTAGCAATGACATTCATACAACGTTACAGCCTCACTCTCTGGAGGTTCATACTGTCTGAACATCGTAGCTAGCAATGACATTCATACAACGTTACAGCCTCACTCTCTGGGGGTTCATACTGTATGAGCGCTGTAACTACCAATGACATTCATACAACGTTACAGCCTCACTCTCTGGAGGTTCATACTGTATGAGCGCTGTAACTACCAATGACATTCATACAACGTTACAGCCTCACTCTCTGGAGGTATGAACATCGTAGCTAGCAATGACGTTCATACAACGTTACAGCCTCACTCTCTGGGGGTTCATACAGTGTGAACATCGTAGCTAGCAATGACATTCATACAACGTTACAGCCTCAATCTCTGGAGGTTCATACTGTCTGAACATCGTAGCTAGCAATGACATTCATACAACGTTACAGCCTCACTCTCTGTAGGTTCATATTGTGTGAACATCGTAGCTAGCAATGACATTCATACAACGTTACAGCCTCACTCTCTGTAGGTTCATATTGTGAAAACATCGTAGCTAGCAATGACATTCATACAACGTTACAGCCTCACTCTCTGGGGGTTCATACTGTATGAGCGCTGTAACTACCAATGACATTCATACAATGTTACAGCCTCACTCTCTGGAGGTTCATACTGTGTGAACATCGTAACTACCAATGACATTCATACAACGTTACAGCCTCACTCTCTGGGGGTTCATACTGTATGAGCGCTGTAACTACCAATGAAATTCATACAACGTTACAGCCTCACTCTCTGGAGGTTCATACTGTCTGAACATCGTAGCTAGCAATGACATTCATACAACGTTACAGCCTCACTCTCTGGAGGTTCATACTGTCTGAACATCGTAGCTAGCAATGACATTCATACAACGTTACAGCCTCACTCTCTGGAGGTTCATACTGTGTGAACATCGTAGCTAGCAATGACGTTCATACAACGTTACAGCCTCACTCTCTGGAGGTTCATACTGTCTGAACATCGTAGCTAGCAATGACATTCATACAACGTTACAGCCTCACTCTCTGGAGGTTCATACTGTATGAACATCGTAACTACCAATGAAATTCATACAACGTTACAGCCTCACTCTCTGGAGGTTCATACTGTCTGAACATCGTAGCTAGCAATGACATTCATACAACGTTACAGCCTCACTCTCTGGAGGTTCATACTGTCTGAACATCGTAGCTAGCAATGACGTTCATACAACGTTACAGCCTCACTCTCTGGGGGTTCATACAGTGTGAACATCGTAGCTAGCAATGACGTTCATACAACGTTACAGCCTCACTCTCTGGAGGTTCATACTGTCTGAACATCGTAGCTAGCAATGACATTCATACAACGTTACAGCCTCACTCTCTGGAGGTTCATACTGTATGAACATCGTAGCTAGCAATGACGTTCATACAATGTTACAGCCTCACTCTCTGGGGGTTCATACTGTGTGAACATCGTAGCTAGCAATGACATTCATACAACGTTACAGCCTCACTCTCTGGAGGTTCATACTGTGTGAACATCGTAGCTAGCAATGACGTTCATACAACGTTACAGCCTCACTCTCTGGAGGTTCATACTGTGTGAACATCGTAGCTAGCAATGACATTCATACAATGTTACAGCCTCACTCTCTGTAGGTTCATACTGTATGAACTTCGTAGCTAGCAATGATATTCATACAACGTTACAGCCTCACTCTCTGGAGGTTCTTACTCTGATGAACTCACACAAAGTGAAAGGCAATTCTCATATAATGTTTTATAGCCTAACTTTGTACCTAAATAGATGTATATACGAGCAATGAATTTAGTCCTGGGTATAAATATCCCAGAGGAATATAAATTCATATACAGAAATTGATTTAGGGAAGAAAATACAGTCCTCCTCCCGGGTACATTACTCTCGAGAACCGATACTCCTGGTGTATCAATACCCCTAGAACAAATGCTCAGGCATCTTCCCGAGGCAAGAGAGTTAACTGACTATGAAAGTCCAGTTTTCACCCTTGCCGAACTAGGCAGAATTTACAGAGTTATATTTTGGCTGGAGTAACAAGTCTAGCATAGTCTAGCACGATTTTCAAAACATGTATGCCATCAACTTAGCCATGTTAGCGTCAACAGATATTTTCCAAATCTTTTCATGTTTGTAATCAAGGTGATTTGATGCACTTCACGATGTAAGACCCATTTTATTACAATATAGATCTTGATTATCAATCAGATCGTCTTCACTGAGCACCGCCATTTTGTTAGAAGGAAATACAAGTGATATGAGAGGTGGAATCTGATTGGTCAATAAGAGGGACATAGAAGAGACATAATAATAATAGACGTAATAGAAACGTAATAATAATGGACGTAATGGAAACTGGTGGCACTAGATCGGCCATGGTGGAAACTGGACTTGTACAGTCAGTTACCTCCCTTGCATCGGGAAGATGATGTCCTGGAGGAACATATTTACTCTCACATATACATCATTATTTATTTAGTATGTGTGACTTCACATATTTACACTGATAGGCATACAATAACTAGCTGTTTGTCAGGAATATATTGTAATAGATGCAACACACTCAGATTAATATTGTAATGGTTTCAACAGTGTTGGAATAATATTGTGATAGTTGCTGGACTGTTTAATAAATATCAAAATTTGTGTCTGACTAATCCTCACTTGTCTA